CGGGTGATTATCATGTGAGCAAAAAAAATTCAGTGATTACTATATTACCAAGTTCTGCTTCCTAGCATCAAGAATGTGATAGATGATGCATCCTAAAGACTAAATTCCATCTATTGTCATTACTTCTTTGTCTTTTTTTCTTGTCTGTTGTTTGATTTGTTTGTTTGTTTGGGGTTTTTGGGTGACCTTTGTAATTTTTTTGATATTTGCATCACTTATCAAGAAACAAGTATTTAACAATGTCATTGTGTCCGCCCCAAAATACCTGGCCCAGAACATGTATTTCTAGTTCTGTGTTTCGACTGAACACATATGTCTAGATTGAGCACTTGCGTTTTTGGTGTAGGTGTAGGCATTTGAATTTGGCTTTTTTTTTGTTTATTGATTTCAGGCTTAACTAAATTATCTTTAAAATTAATGCTAATGAGAGATTTTTAGAGGTAATTCAGAGCAGTTAATAATTTTTGTATGTACCTGTTGTTGGAAGATTGCCATAATTAGATTATCAGATATGGGCTGCAAAAATATGGACAACCATTAGAAACAGCTGAGATGAATAGAAAACCATAATTCTTTGCTGCCATCTAGTGGCTGTCCATATTTTTGCAGCTATATATATGTGCTTAATTATATTAAAAACACAAATCCCCGGTATACACATGTCGTGAAACTGATAAACAAAAATGATCACCAGGATAAAATCATAAACAAAGCTGTTTAATCTACAAAAGTACTGAGCTTTCGTCGGCCACACTGCCGACATCATCAGAGTATAAAATACTGGATCCGGGAGTCCACTGGACCAACTTTCTCTCTGATTTTTCAGCATGATGTATGAGCTGTATTTCATGATGCTTGTGTTCAGATGTTTATATGTTGATCCTTGATTTTGCAAGGAATCTTTGTCTTGCTTTTTTTGGTGCCCCAGATTAGCACATACATTTTTCTACACGATGTAGACATGTGGATGTTTAGGGCATAGATTAAAAAAATGTTATCACGTGTTTGTTTACTTTGTTTTAACAAGAACACCATGCTTCTTTTCCTTTGGAGATTCCTTTATTAACTGCAGGAAGAATAGAGTTTGTTATTGTTGTTTGCAACAAGTACTAAAGTTGACCGGGACAGTTGAAGAGCCACTCCCCCTTTTCAGACAACTTGCTTTTCTTCTACATTTATTAGGCTGGGTTCAGGCTGGTTACTATGTCACTGAAAGGGATTATAGAAAGTGAAACAGAACTGACTGAATTCTAGCAAACAAATTGTGCTGCAGATAGCACATTTTTTCTTGTGAAGTCATGCTAAGATATTGCAGAGAATATAGATTGTTAAGAAAGTAGCCAAAGCTACTTAAAGGATGACTAGGAAAGAATAAAATGTACTGCACTTAAAAATATTAATTTTTCCAACCACTTCTCTTCAGACTACTCTCTTAAATCAGGAATTTAACTATTTAGAAGTACAATTTCTTAGTGTGTTGAACTGGAAAAAAAATCTATTTTATTCTCAAGCTGTGGGTGCCAGAACTTTGCTTGATAAGGAAACTTTGATAAGACTTTTGATAAAAGTACTTCCAAAGCTCAGCAGAGTTTGAAAGTTTTCTTGTCTTTCTTTTTTGTCAATATGTATGGCAGAGCATCATGAAAGATGATTTCAGAGCATAGGGTAGGGGAGACTATATTTTCCTACATGTGGTCCTTCGTATATTGGAGAAAGATTACTATATTGCTTGCCAGCTAATATTAGACTTGCAGTACTAACCTCCATGCTGCATAGTAAGCTCCCTGCCTGAGCTCCTTGACTCCATTTTTAGGTTGGCTGTGGAGTTCCCCAGACTTAAGGTCTTGGAAAACCTCAGTCTTCCTTCTCTAGGTCTGTAGCAGCTCAGGAGTTTATGGCCATAATGATGGCCACAAGCCTGTCCTTGTCATCCAGAGGCTGATAAGGGACAGTAGTCATACGCTGAATCTGGTGTTTCTGTTGGAACAGTCACTATGTGATCTCAATCTGGGAGAGATTTTGGTGCTCCCCTTGTCATGGTTAGATCACACTCTTATTACCATTGAATTTCATGGTACTACTAACCACTGAAGGAGGCTTGGCTAGATTGGTCTTCCTTTGGGTGAGTAATGGAATTGGATGGGTTTCCGCAGGAGCTGGAGATCTTTTCTGCTGGTCTGCTGTATGGTCCATCTGAAGTCTTGGTCATCACTTGGAATAAGAAGGCCGGGCAGCTTTGGATGGGATTGTGTCTATGCATCCTTTCCCCTCTCGTGATCTGTCACTCCCTGTGATTTACAAAAGAGCTAAGAGAATTGAAGCAACAAGAGATGTTTAGAGCATTGCTGGTGGTTTTTTTTGGGGGGGGGAGTACAAATTTGACACAGGTAAGAATTGTGATTAAGGCCTTACTTCAGGGTGATAAGGGTGATGAAGTATTAGTACTTTTCTGTCTATTGCTGTCCTGTTTCAGGTGACGCAGGGCCTTTTCGGTACAAGCAGATTAGAGAAACCTTTGCAGGGGTGTGTGGAAGATGAATGGTTGAGGAAGCTAAATATGGCTAGCCCAGGGGTAGGCAACCTCAGCTCTTTTATGACTCATGGACTTCAACTCCCAGAATTCCTGAGTCAGCTATGCTGACTCAGGAATTCTGGGAGTTGAAGTCCATGAGTCATAAAAGAGCCGAGGTTGCCTACCCCTGGGCTAGCCCCTAAAAGAGTAGACTTAGGGGGAACATGATAACTCCTTTTTTGTATTTGTGGGGCTGTGACAGAGAAAAGGCGATTGATTTATTCTCCAAAACACCAGAGGGCAGGACAAGAAGTAATGTGTGGAAGCTTGTTAAAGAGAGATCCAACCTAGAAGTAAGGAGACATTTTCTGACAGAACAATTAACCAGTGGAATAATCTGCTCCATTACTGGAGGTTTTCAAAAATAGAGTGGACAGCCGTTTACCGTTGATGATATAAGGTCCCCTGCCTTGAGCAAAGGGTTGGACTAGAAGACCCCTGAGGGGACCCTTCCAGCCCTATGGTTTTATGTTCTGCCATTAAGAAGTATATATAACATACATTACCGATGCACTCTGAATACATGAGGATTAATATAAACTTTCTTGCTTGCTCGCTTAGATTTTGATGGTGTAGAGTGTTCCAAAAGCTGGGATAGTATGTAGAAGCAAAACTGTAGCTGTTTGCCACCTGGATTTTTTATTGAGCTACAGGCACTTGAACATACTGTAAGTCTGTTTTTATACGTGGATCAAGGAGAAAGTGTGTTTCGCATATGAAAAAAAGAAAGATCCAAGAAAAACTGGGGTTACTGGGTAGGAAATATAATATGAAATCTGGTTTTAATTTTTGCTTTTTGCCTTCATGAATTGCAAACAGAAAATTTGCTATCGGTGGAAGACGTTTGATTCAGCAAAACAATACCAATAACAAAAGGAGGAATATCTCTCTCTCTCTCTCTCTCTCTCTCTCTCTCTCTCTCTCTCTCTCTCTCTCTCTCTCTCTCGTGCAAATGGCTGTTGAAAAAAAAAAGCACAAATCAACTCTCATTCTGTTCTATTGGAAGGAATGAAATATGTAACAACACAGTGGTATATGTGCCTTCGCCCTTACCATGCGGATATTATTTTTACAAGTTAATGAATATTTTCCTAAAAATGTAAAGGCCATTTTAAAGTGAAGAGTTTCCTTAGGACCGCTGCGGATAATAAAAAAGTTTCCTATTCAAATCTGCTTCAGCCCCAATGATTACTAAACCTTGCTTTTGTTATATGCACATTCAAAATACACGTATAGATAGTTCTCGACTTACAACTATTCATTTAATGACCATTCAAAAGTAACATACTACTGGTTCTCGCACTTAGACTGTTGTAGCATCAAAATTTGGGCATTTGGTAACTAGTATTTGTATTTAGGATGGTTGCAAGTATCCCAGGGCCCTGTGATTGTCATTTGCAACCTTCTCCACAGCTTCTAACAAATAAAGTCAATGGGGGAAGCCAGATTGGCTTAATGACCTTGTGATTCACTTAACAATAATTTGCTTAACAACTGTGACAAAAAGGTCCTAAAAATCAGGTGTGACTTACTTAACAACTGCTTTGTTTAGTAATAGAAATTTAGGTCCCAGATGTGGTCATCAGTCAAAGGCTACCTGTTTGCAGAATAATGCAAGGAAGTATTTTCTTTTATAATTACTTTGAAATGGAATAAGGTAGCAATATGCAATTTTCTGTATTGTACATCGTACAAATATCTGGGAAGATGGCTTTCCTATTTGTGATAATTTTTATTTCCTCTTTCATTGTTTTTATACTTTTCCTTGAACCCTCTGTGTGTGAGAAGATAGATATGAAAATAGTTAAAAACATGGTGGTCCTTTTACTTGGGTATATCAACAGCTGAATCTAGGACCTCTTGCATGCAAAGTTAATACTCAGTTATAAAGTTATATTCTCTTTTCACTGATTATTAAAGAATATGTATGTATCCTACTTCAAGAAAGATACTTCATAATGGTTTACCTATGATTATGGAATAAGCTATGATGGGTCATACCTCTTAACTGAATATATATTCGGCAACCACTGCTTAAGAAACTTGCTGAATATGACGGGATATAGATCTTTTGCTCATAATAAAATGGGAATGGTAAGAGTACTGCTTGCCTATTATTAAATCTTTTGCAAATAGGGTTATATACTACTGTATTATTGTATAGCTATACTACTGTAATCTATTAAAGCTAGCCATTGGATTAATAAGATGAACTTCAAGTTTGATAATCATTCTGTAGCCAATGTCTACATTTTCTGAACTCATACAACAGAATCTAACTCCTATATTTAATCTATGTTTGTGTCTTAAGATGTCTAGATATCAAGTGACCTTGCTGAATGCAGTTTTTAATCTGTAGGATTTTTAACAAATTATTATTTTTGGCAGACTTTTTCAGCTGAAACTTTGTCATTCTTTATTATTTTAGGCATGTACTGGAATAGAAAATATTGATGAGGCTATCACCTTACTTGAACAAAATAACTGGGATTTAGTGGTAAGTATTTATTTTACTTTATATGTTTGATGCTTAAAATCAGAGGGAAAATTGCTGGAATTCTAGCTGGAAGAATGAGTGTTCATGGGATATATACAAACTTAGTGTAGTGCCGTGTCAAATCTACCACCCCATTTGCAAGCCATGGAAGATGTGATGTTGTGGTTAAAGTGTTAGACTAAGAGGAAGAGAACCCTGGTTCTATTCCTTGCTTAGCTAGGGAAGCTCATTAAGGAAATGTGGGGAAGTCACTGTCTCTCATCCTGGCTTACCTCACAGGGTTTTTGTTGTGGGGAAAAATAAGAGGAAGGAGCACCTGCTTTTTGCTCCAACCTGCTTTTTGCTCCTGAATGAAAGCCAGATTAAAATCCTAAATCAAGAAATACATGTTCAGAGTACATATACTACAAGGAACAATAGGCATTTCACTTTTGGGGAAAAAAATGTAATTTGGCATTGCAAGGAGCAATAAGCAACGTTTTCTTATTGGCCCAATTGATTGCAGTGCTTTCCCATTGCCTTTGATTTGGACTGATGTTACTCGTGATGTAGCTTTGTCCTTTTTCAGTGTCTTGGGGCACGGATGGAAGTTTCTCCTTTTACATCTTTGTAAGGATTCCATTTAGTTTTGGACATCATTACTGCTTTCTGATTTTACTGGGCTGTTCATGGTGACAAAGCATCAGTTGTATTTTCTTACCTTTGATCAAGTATCATATGTCTCTGCGCTTTCATGTTTTTTTGAGGGTGTGTATTGGAAGTGAAGTAATGGTAACAGTATACAAGAGTATGCTTCAGGAGGATACAACTTTTCTTTCCAAATTAATGGAGAGACGAGGTATGCTATAGTGGGAAAAAAAATACTAACATCCCCAAGGGCAGTTGTTTTTTTATTGCAATCTTATCGCTACCTACTGATGACATGTATCTCTAGTCAAGTCTCATTTGGATTCCTTTCAGGGATCCATACTAAATGTAAATTTCCTGGATTTTTAAGAACAGGCAGATTTTTTATTAAGATCAAATTCTTCAGATACACAGTAAAGTATGACATATTTGGCAAATGCATGAGTTTAGAGAAGTGAAACCATATCTCGTAAGAAATATCTAGAGTCTGATAGGGACAGTAAGCATGTGTTAGCATCTATTTGTATCTGTACTTCAATTTTCAACAAATCTTTGCCAAAATGTCCTGCCAAAAATCCTCAAATCTACATACTTGTGCCAATAAAGATAATGCATTTTCAGAGTCAAAGAAAGGTTAAATAAGAAACAGAATGGGTATAATGTTTCATATTGTACAATGATAGGAAAGAATTTAGTGTCAACTGATCTGCATTAGGAGGTCAGATGTTCAGAGATACACTGAAAAGCTGGAAATTTATTGGAAATCTAGTTGTCTTTGTGTGCAGAAGAAAATGGTATAATGTGACACATGGAGGAAAGGGCAGTTTTCTGAGTTGATTTGTTTTGGAGAGAAATGCTTTGGATAATACAGGTTTATCTCTTATATCCAAAAGATGAGGAAGAATTGTGTTATGGTTTTACATATTAAGAGTTAAAATATTAATAATCCTTAATGTAAAAAAAGTGCTGCCATTTTTATTACTTTTTTTTACTAAGCATCAGCAGTGCAGGACTTTAAAAAAAAGCATTATTGGGATTGTCTTGTTCTGATTTTGATAGCTAGAAGATGCATTGAGATGGGCCAAGAAGATGAACATATGTTAAATTCAGATACCTAATCCTTGGATTAGGAGATTTTCTTCTGTATTCATAGAAACATGCTATTATAACATAACTACAGATACCTTTGGTCACTAAGAGTCAAAATTGATTTGATGGAATATAATCAACCAGTCAATCAATTATAGACATCTTTTAAATATCCAATATACCACACGTCTTCGTTTTTTAAAAGGATACAGCCTGTATTAAGGAAAGCAGCTACTGAAAGAGATAAGAGTTTTTTTGTTCATCAGTACAATGGCTCACCATAAAATACAACAAAAGAACAGTCTTCTGTAGTTACTAGTGCTTACAGCTGTAGCACTCCACATGCAGATCATGAAAGAGAGGATATGGCATTTCACTATCTTCAAAAAATATGCCCTCTGGAGTTTTCATTTTTCGAATAATCCTAGATTTATGTATGTGTTGTGCAAGCTCACCAAATACAACTTCGGGGCTCCCTGCATCAGAATGTTTGGGTAGGAAGATGTTGAAACAACCCTTCAAATTTACTTATAGTTCTTAAGAGCCAAACTCTAGACATTTTCTATAGAATTCAGTTCCAAATTTTAATAATTCATCTGCTGATTATTAGCTGTTTATCTTGAAGAATTAGAATACTCAGATGTGCCCAGAGTTTTAATTCCAGAATCAGTTCTTTTTTTGATCAAGAAGTAGTTTTCCTAGAATTCATTCTATATTGGTGTGTTACTGTGCATCTATTACATTTGGGTGAGAGGGGTAGGCTAAATGCTTAAGAATGCTGTTCATCTGGCTTATTTTATAAAGACAATTTTAGCTTGGGTTTTATTTTTTACGTCTGCAGTTGCTTGCCAAAAAAAAAAAAAAAGAATAAATAGGAATATTATAATAAAAAGTGAGGTGCTTGTAGAATTTGTGTAACCTAACCTATTCTCAATTTGCTATTAAATATTATGTTTAGTATGCATGAATTTGTAGATGTAAAATTCAGCAGTGCACAGTATCAATACAAAAGTAAGCCTTTGGTAAGGCTTGGTGACAAGTTATGAAAGTAATGTAAGCACCATATGCAACCTTATCTAAACAGTAGTTGAAATTTCATTACTGCAGTAATGAACTCTTTCTACTTCTATTATCCTTGCACAGCTGCCAACAAGAAATGCAGAGTCATCAAGTGAGTGGCAAGGCTAATAAATGTCAATTTCTTTTTATGAAGAAGCTACTCTATTTCTTGTAATAGAGAGTTCTTTGTATTCTTAGTCCACACAAAAGGCAGCACCTGAGAGTACAGAAGCTCTTGGCACTCTGACTAACATTTCCCCCCCCCCTCTCGTTAAGCATTTCTTATCACAAATTCATATTTTCAGGATAGCAAATTTAAACCTAAGGGAGGAAGCATTTTATATATTTTTGCAAACTATAATTAAATTGCTTTAAACAGTTAAAAGAGTAAATGTAAAACTGAATTAAAATGTTGCCCCAAAGCAAAAAGTAAACTAAATATGCAAAGAGTACAAAATTTCACTGTTTTTAAAGCTGATGGACGCTTTGGGCTTTTGGAATATGGGAAATTTGTTTAAACTAAAAAAAAAAAAAATCAAAACTAAAAAAATCCACCTGCAGCACTATAGTTGTATTTTTTTACCCCCAAATGCCCACTGATAAGATTTAGCATAAAAAAAGTCCTTTTGCTTTCAGTGATGCACTGAAGTTTCAATAATTTCCCCTCCCTTCTGAAATCTTAAAAAAACCATGAAATAAATTATTATAGGATAGTATAAATGGAAGTGCATATTGCCCACCTTAGCATTATTTGGATTTTGCAGCAACATTTGGTAGTACATTTAATATCTTCAGAATAACACATGCTGCTTGAATTCCCCCTTCCTTCCTTCCTTTTTTTTTTTTTTTTGTGGTGGTAATTTTCAGAATGGTGATAGTAATTCTCAGAATGGTCTCCTCTTAACCACATTCTGTCTACGGGCTGCTTCTGAGGAAGAGATTGGATGTGTTGCTGCTCCTATTGCCTTGATTAGAAGCTCTAAACCAGAGGTCCCCAACCTTTTGGGCATCAGGGACCGGTTCCATGGAGAGAGGTTTTTCCATGGGCCAGAGAGTGCGTGGTTTTGTGTGCTGCCTGCATCTCGTGGATGGGGCTTTGCTTGTTTGTGCGGACCAGTTGCTGGCATGCCACAGACCGGTATTGGTCCACGGACCGGGGGTTGGGGACCCCTGCCCTAAACTATTTTACCAATAGTCTCAACCTGATCAACCAGTAGTCTCTCCATGAAATTTGTAAATAACTAAACCAATGTGTCTTCTGTTCTGTCCTTAGCCCTTTTCTATTAGAAGCAGATGGTTTAGAAAAACCCTGTTGGGATGCATGAGATTTGGTAAAATTAAATGTTTTTAGAATCTTACAAGATTTTTATTAGAAAGAAAAATATGCAGATGAGTGCATTCTCAAAATAGCTTTAACTTGCTTTCATTATGAGTAAGACCAATGCCATTAGGGTATTTTTTTTTTATGGGGAATGTGACTTCTTATTAGCAAGAATGATGTTTTAAGATTTGATCTCAGGAAAACTGAGATATCAAAGATAATAAATATATTGTAGACTCCACTTTGTTGCTCTAGGCTCCTGGGAATTTTGAGGGGGAAAATTGCTTTTCCTCATGTGTTAGGAAATGCAAATAAATATTAATTCCCAAGAATCGTTAGAATTTTTAAAAACAGCAAATGACATACGATTGCACCTCTGAATGGATAAATAGGAAGCAATTAAGGACATAATGTTTTGTAATTAATATATTAATGTTTCAGTTCCTATTTTAAGATTCACTACTTGTATAAATCTGTGTCTTGCCTTCTACAAAATATATGGGGGTACGGCATGTGGTAAATATATTCTTTGAGATGTCAAATCAGACACTTGTTTAGTTAAATAGATAAGATTTACTCATATCTGACTAAACCAACTGGAATTTACTTTAGTGATAACCAGTTCCAAATGATTTAAGAGGCGTTATTTTGCTGTGTAGATGACTGAGTCTGAATTTAACCCGTTATAAACAATTATATATTTCAATATATGATGTTTGCAATTCAAAATGTTCCTCAGCAGCTTCAGTGTATGAAAAGACTGGCTACACATTGTATAAATCTTTTTGCAGTACGTACATATGTGCTGCTATGCAAATAGCCAATTGAAGTATTAGAGACCCTCCAAAAAAGAAACAAAATACTGATGTATGTGATATAAACTGGATTTAATTACAGTCTGAAATTCTGATCTATTAATGTAGACTTTTCAAACTTGATATTTCTAAATGTGTTGGGTAACAAGTCCCACAATTCTCATCCATCTCTGCCATTAGGCTATTTGTAGAAATGAAATGCTATGGCCAGAAAGGGAGGAATTAACAGCCTATCTTTAATTGCCTAATGGAGCCATTTGAAAAGATTAAATATTCCTGTTTGGTAATCAAAAAATGTATCTTAAATGTCTAAGAGCAAAAAAGAATCTTATGTTTTACAGCCAGTGGTGGGATTCAAATATGTGAACAGCCGGTTCTGTCTTCTGTGGATGCCGCTTCCGGAAGTCAATTCTGGGCTTGGGCAACAAAAAAATAGCTACCGGTTCTGCCGAAGTGGTGTAAACTGTCTGAATCTCACCACTGTTTACAGCTGTATTTAACACATCTTAAGAATGCTTCTGTGTCCCACATTTTGTTGTACGTATGCAATAATTGTATTGCTATTTCATGTGCTTTGCATAATTATCTCTTTTTTAAAACCATATTTAATGGCAGTTAAATATTAAGCTCTGCTCTAGGAAAGTTAATAGTAAACCAGAAAGAACTAAAGTTCTTTCTAAATGTATATTTTAGAAAGTGAGCAGATAGGAAGAATAGCATTGTATTGGATCTATCCTTATTTCAGTAAATATGTATAGAAAAAACATGGAAGGAAACAATGAAATCAGTTATCTTTGGATTTTCAGAATACCCATAGTGAGTCCAGATATTAGAAATAGTAATACAGAAAGACTCCTGGGAGTTCAGAATAGTTCATATTTTTCTTTTCAGTAAGCCTTGTTACTTTAGAGTACAGAAGACTAGTGTTATATTGTTATGAGACTGAATTACAGGGGTGTGTCTAAGGCTAACCTTAGTGAATCTCTTGATATGACAGGTTTTTGAAATGGGATTCTCCAAATTTTAGCTTTAAACAGTCTTCTCTATTGATTCTTTATAGACAACAGAAAATATTATTTTGGAATAATGGTATCCATGCTTTCTCCGCCTAAATATAAGTGTTAGAAACAAAGTTATCTTACTGCTATTTTTAAAAAGGGATGGGTGGGAATAACATCAGAGACTTCAGAGGAAAAAAGTAAGTCTATAACTTCTTGCACATCTGTTTTCAGTTTTTAAATTAGCAATTGGTTTCTGCAAAACATTTGGAAAGACACTTTGGAAGCATCCCTCAAAGGGCAGTGCTCAGTTTATTGCTTGGATTTTTATTCAGTTTCTGCTAGAAATTCATGGTAAAACCTGCCATTAATTCAACAATTTGCTGCTGGGTTTTGATAACAGGATATTGGAAGGGTGTCATTCTAAAAAAAGACTGGGGCCCATGGATTACCTGGATCAGGACTTAAATAATCACCTAAGTTTTTAACCTTTTAGAGGCAATAGATTTAATTTCACCTACTTGGAAAAAAATCTTTAAATGGGGCAAATAGTAATGAATTGGCATAACTTTTCTTATTTAAATCTTCCTTCCCTTCTACCCACTTCTCTAAAGTGCCTCTATAAAATATATCTAAACAGTCTTTCACCCAATCAATTAATGAGTTTTAGTAGAGAGTTTTATTTGGAGTTCCCTATTTAATCTTGCACTCTGACCATGATGTCACATTTCTTTTCATGTATTGTAATTGATACAATAGGGACTTTGTGGTTTGAATAAGGGGACTCATATTAATATTTATTAATTTACTTATTAGTAAAATGTATAAGACCACCAATCCCATGAAAGCTGGGCAATAAATACCACAGTTACTCTGTGGTAAGGTGGGTGGCCAATAAATTTGATAAAATAAAAATAACATTAAACAAATCAAGGCACTAGATAGCAAAGAAAAGAATGTTGCATATCCATAAAAGAAGACAACTTTGAAATTAACATCCAGAATGCTAAAAAAAAGGCTTATCACCTGTCCTAGCCCAAGGCTTGGTAGAGAAGCCATGGTTTTGAAGACCTTTTAAAACCATTTAAGATTGGGGCCATACAGATATCTGGGGATACTTTTGCAGAAAACAGGTACCGTGACAGAAAAGACCAGGTTTAACCAATGGGGATGGAGAGCATGCTAATTCTCATTGACAAGATGGACAGAAACTATTGGAGATAAAGGGTACCTTAGATAATCAGGCACTATTCCATGAAAGACTTTATAGGGTATAACCAGCACTTAGAACAGTGGTCTTCAAACTTGGCTCTTTTATGACTTGTGGACTTCAACTCCCAGAATTCCTCAGCCAGCATACCTGGCTGAGGAATTCTGGGAGTTGAAGTCCACAAGTCATAAAAGGGCCAAGTTTGAAGATCATTGACTTAGAATTTGTACCTGGTTGCTGACTGGCTTCTCATGAGGCAGAGGTGTGGCATACCACCACATTCCCAATCAACTACAGCTTCTGAGTGGTCTTCAAGGCCAGAACCATGTTACAATAACCAAGGTGATTAGAAAATGAGCGATTGTCTGAAAGGCTTCCCAATCCAGGATCACGCAAGATAGTACTGTATAAAGGCTAAGTTGGTTATAGCTGCCAGTTGCTTTTTAAGAAGAGGATGTGAATATGGGAAAACACCCAAGCTGCACATCAATCTCAAATGGAGAAGTTCTCTTCCCATCCAGGAAGATAGAAAATCTCTGGGATTGGTTGGCTCAAATTCCTATAGCCACAAGGCGTTCTTGAGGTTAAGCTTCAGTCTGTTATTCCCCATTCATACTTTCACTTCTTCTGAACACTTGGTCAGCCTGGTATTGAGATGTACTGCTGGGTATTATCAACACAATCACTATGATATCAAACCTGAAGCAGTGGATTAAGGGACCTTGGAGGTCATCTAGTCCAACCCCCTGCCCATGCAGGAAACCCTATACCATTTCAGACAAATGGCTGTCTAGTCTCTTCTTAAAGACTTCCAGTGTTGGAGCATTCACCACTTCTGGAGGCAGGTTGTTCCACTGGTTAATTGTTCTAACTGTCAGAAAATTTCTCCTTAGTTCTAGGTTGCTTCTCTCTTTGATTAGTTTCCATCCGTTACTTCTTGTCCTGTCTTTAGGTGCTTTGGAGAATAGCTTGATTCCTTCTTTTTTGTGGCAACCCCTGAGATATTGGAACACTATCATGTCACCCTAGTCCTTCTCTTCATTAAACTCAATTCCAGCAACCGTTCCTTATATGTTTTAGCCTCCAGTCCCCTAATCATCTTTGTTGCTCTTCTCTGTACTCTTTCTAGAGTCTCAACATCTTTTTTACATCGTGGTGACCAAAACTGGATGCAGTATTCCAAGTGTGGCCTTACCAAGGCATTGTAAAGTGGTATTAACACTTCAGGTGACCTTGATTCTATCCTTCTGTTAATGCAGCCTAGCACTGTGTTGGCTTTTTTTGGCAGCTGCAGCACACTGCTGGCTCATATTTAAGTGATTGTCCACTAGGACTCACTCAAATTTGAGAGAATTGTTTCAAGAAGCATGTTGGCACCAAAGCATGTTGTACTTTCCTTGAAGCATTAAAGCAGTTGCTGTCTCTGGAAAGGTGGGGACAGCTGCTCTGAAGCCTTTCTCCGGTTACCTCTCTGTTTGTGTGGATGTGCCTGCACAAATAAGCAAGCATACGTGAAAACTGCTGGGGAAAGCCTTTGAAATAGCTGTACTGAATTTTCTGGGTTGGGATTACTTTAAAGCTTTAAAGAGGGTACTTTGCTTGGACTAGTAAACTTTGTGAAGAGCTTGTTTCAGATAAGTTGCACAGTTGGCAGACAATATATTTGAAGAGTTTCTTGTTTCTTTTAAGACCAGCTTTCTCATCTCCAATTTGGCCATTTTAACTTCACTCCTGGTGTCTTTAGGGATACGTCCATATCTCAGCAGGTGATGTTCCACTACCTTGATCAGATTGATTAACAGTTGGTGGTATCTTTCCTAGGAAAACCAGAGTTGTAGACTACACTGAGAGATTGGAAAAATTTCCAGCATGCAACGACAAACCACATCCATATTGTTGTCACAAAACTATACAGTTATTGTTGTCTAGAAAATTAAATGCTGTATGCTTCCTTTCCAGGCGGCCATCAATGGAGTTATACCGCAGGAAAATGGCATTTTAGAAAGGTAAGTGATGTTTTTATACTCATTATCCTAGAAGCATTATGAAATAACGTACTTACACTGCTTGTTTTCTGCTGTTGAGCTTTAAAATACATTTTAATAATCTAAATATGAAGCTTTTATTTAAGCAATGCAAGAAATAGATTAATATCTAAATTATGTAATTTGTCAATGCTTAAGTTTCAATTAGTTTTGCAAATTCCTTCACCTGCTTGTAGTTCAGATACTCAGGAGAAATAAGCTCTTACATCTTCCAATGAAATTATTGTCCTGTAATAATTAATGAACACATTTCCCATAATCAAGATTGAAACCAGTTAGGTTAATAAGAAGACAAATGTTCTTAGTGATAGACTAAGAAATATAGCTCTCTTCTCCACTTAATGTTCAATTGTTCCCTTTAATTGTAATCGGCAATGGCTTACACAGCAACCCAATTTTCTTTCTCTAAGAAAAGGCATTATTTATATCAGGGGCAAGACTAGTGTAAAGTTCCCCCCAAAACGAAAGCTTGTGGACTGTGAAATTTGGAGATCCAGAGTCTCTTCCACTGAATTCCTTATTGTTATTTCTGCTTTTTGACACTTCAAAGGTAACATCTTTGCTAAGAGGGAATTGTGAAATCAGACTTCTCTGAGATTGAAATCTCTCACCTTTTCTTCAGAAAGGGGATTTATATTATTGCTCTTGAAATGCCTCCTGTTTGCCATAAAAGTGTATCTCTAAAAACGTCAATTATTGACATATGGCATTATTTTCTTAAAACTGTTTTAAGTGTATCCACTTTATTCTTGCATATTCTGTTTAATGTTTTGTTTCCTAATTTCTGTGTTTGTTGATTTGTAACCATGTGGTACTGAAAACCAACTAATTGACATTACATACTAGTCTGCATTAAATCTTTCAGCATTTTAGAATTGATCTGAACAGAGATTGGTTATCTCTTGATGGAATTAACAAATATAATAGTCCAGAATTCTTTCAGAAAATAAATTCCATTATGTTTAGTTGCTTTTAAAATAAGACTAATTTTGCTGTCCGGTAATGCATCTCAAAATGATAAAAATAAAATTCAGTCCATCTATTATATCCAAGAACTATGCAAAATCTATGCATACCTGGATTTTTAGACTTTTTAATTTTGCTATATACACGTACCTCAGAAGGTTTCTCCTAAAGATTAGCATTCAGTATGATACTTTGTAAGAAACTATAGCTGGCAATCTGAGCATGAAGAAGCAATTTTGGACATTATGAGATTGTTTGGTCTCAACTATCGTAGCGTATAGCAATAGATAAATGTTTATTGGGACTCAGTGAAAGAAAGGAAATGGTTGAAAATGTCCTAAATTTCCCCATTTCTGGTACTTTAGCCATCAAGCCTCTCACTACTTTAGCACTAACTGACTGCATTTTTCTCTCTCTAAAAACTGCTGACATTCACTAAAACAATAACAACAAAAAATTGCCCTGGTTTTATTGGGACAATATGTAAACTGGGAAAATATTGTCCCTGTGACGGGTGCAAAAGAGTGCTGCGTGGAGAAAGAGAGTTGTGCTTGTGAAGTCAGGCTGCTTGTGTTGTGTTCCTAAATTGCAGATATACAAGGACACGTGCAAACTCGGACAGAACCAAAAACAGAGGGATCAGTGTGGTTTGGGAATATGAGGACTGATCCCTTTCCTCTTCTGCTTAGTTTTGAAAGCTAACTGCATTGACCATCTGGCCGGAAAGGTCTTTACAAGCAGTAGACTTCTTGCTTCCCACTCCAGCACAGAAAAATCTCTGAATTGGGGCCAATATATTTTTGCATGGAAATGTATACACCTAAACACAAGCGTGCCCATTGTTCATCTTAACTCTGAGACTGCCCATGGCTTTGGAGTTGAGAATTACCCTTTGTTCTTTCTGATTAGCAAGAAAGAAAAGGGGGTTTTGTGTAAAAAAAAGAATCACAGTGTTCTATTTTTTTGTTTGTTTCCCCTTCACTCAAACATAATTTGTAATGCAGAATGATGCAAATTATTGTAGCCCACGGTTAAGAGGACAAATGCTCTGATATTAAAACTGCACAGATTTGTCAGCAACAGTTTACTGCGCAGTTCAGTTGAACAGTGACTGAGTTGTTTGTAAGTATTTGTCTATACTTTGCGTTGGATGGATCTGAAAAACCAAAAGCTCAATATAAGCTTCCTATTTTGAAAAACAGATAAGAGAGGAAACATTTTAAATTGCTGGTTTACTTATTAATGTATCGAGGATTTTAAATTCATATCTCATGGTTCTGAACAATTAGAATTTATTTATTTGGGTTCTTGTTGTGGGGAAAATAGGAGAAAGAAGGGGTGTTGGATAGGTTTGCCCCCTTGAGTTATTTGTAAAAATAATAAAAGGGTATAAATAACATGTATTCAATTTGCATGGCCACACATCTCAACAAATGACTGTGGGCAGCGAACAATCTTAAAATAAAGTGAAAACAATTCCCATCACCAATACAAAAATTATAATACATGGTGACTGAGCAAGATATCACAAGGCAGAAACTAGCATAGCCAGAAGTCAGGACCCTTCACACAATCAAGGCCGGGCATTGAACCAGGTTTTTAGGGTCTTACAAAAGGCCAGCAGAGTCTAGGCCAGGCGTAGGCAACCTTGGCTCTTTTATGACTCGTGGACTTCAACTCCCAGATTTCCTGAGCCAGCATGGGAGTTGAAGTCCACGAGTCATAAAAGAGCCAAGGTTGCTTACCCCTGGTCTAGGCTGTTCTAATTTCTGGTGAGAGAATGCAATTAGCAGGCATGATGGCAGAAAAGTTGGGCCCCAACAACCAGCATTTTGGGGCTAATAGACCCAGATCATGCCCATCTTGCTGAATTGGATTCATTGGGAAGAAACAACTGGAGAAAGATAGTCCTTCAAGTAACCCAGTCCCAAACCAGGAAGGGCTTTAAAGGTGACATGCAGTACCTTGAATTGTACCTAGAAACACATGGACAGTTAGGGGAACTCATGAAAGTAGTGGTATTATGTATGCCAAGTAGCCAGCCCTATTTACTACCTGGGCAGCTGCACTCTGCACCAATTGAAACATCCAAATCTCTTCAAAGGCGGCCCCATTTAGAGTGCGTTGCAGTAGTCCAAACAGGAGGCCACAAAGGTATGAGCAGCCATGAGCAGGGACTTATTCAATCATACACCCTTTTTTAAAATTCTTCCTGGCCCAAAGTGTTGGAAACTATTTATGTAAAGGTGGACAGATCTGTGTGCCCTCCAGCCAAATAACTTTTCAAAAGCTGAAGAGAAATATAGTGTGAAGCAAAATAAAGACTGAGTTTGAAAACAGAATGGATCGGGCGGAAGAAGAAAAAAAAAAAGCCTTCAGGATATCCTGCTGGGAGAGGCAGTGAGCAGCAGTGCAGAATGCTGTTGACTTTTCCATTCTGTACTCCCTTCCTTTCTCCCTTCTGATCACCTGACCCAGAGGCAGTATGGGCAGCCTTCACATCCATAACAAGAATGTATGGCCATTGTTGTTGTCAAAGGATTGGAAGGAATTCCAGAAGCTATATTTTTCATGATTTCCTTGCCTCACAGGACACTGCTGAAAATCTTTTTTTCTTTTTTACAATTTAGAAATAGGAGGGGAAAAAATACTTAAATGTCTTTTCCGAATTACAAATATAATCTCCTTGTGACCTATGAAAAATTTGTTCAGATATAAATAATAATAGTGCCCATTTCGGTGTCTTCCTCCTGCCTGCCTTCCTCTTTCCAAGAGAAAGTAGACAATTTGCGAGTAGAGCTTATGTGTTGTGTATGCAGCCATGATAGTAGTAGTTTTTCTCAGAGAGAGAGAGAGAGAAAGAGAGACCAGCTGGCATCATATGACACATCATATGAGAGCATTGCAGAACAAAGGGAAAGAGACAGTCTCTAATAGATAATTGGACTGAAGCCAAGAATGTGCAATGTTTCTTAAGCACTTGAGCACACATACCAGAGTATTTCCTAACCCTAACCAAAACTCCCTGGACAAAAAGAGTGGACAGGGACAGGGCAAAGCTACTTAAAAATATAATAATATTAAATATAATCAGTGCAATTAATTTTTCCTCTTGTACTGCATGAAAATTAGTAGGTTTTGAAGAGGCTCTGGATTCTGAGGGGTGGCAACTTGTATATCCCTGTTCAAAGCCATGTAGGTTTTACAAAATTAAAATATATTTGAAAAACCAGGAACCCAATGTTGCTTTTAGTGGATGGGATGTGTTTTGTATTATCAGTGTATTATCATAACTACTTTTTAGATATGTCTGCAGGAAAAAGTAGAGGAAGAAATATATTTTATTCGTATACTTGCAGATTGGATCGAAATGAAACCACATGTCCTATCGGATATTTTACATATTTGTTAATAAACAAATCTTGATAGTGAATTACAAAAGTCAGTTACTGTGATATATACCATCATTTTGCAATATTTGTATTTATTCAATAGCCAGAATGATATTACATTGCTTTCAAATACAAAGGCAAATTTGAAAGTGAGTGTTTTCACTTTAGCATCTAATTCATTTTATAAGTGTGCTTTTGAAAAGCATCTAGGCTAAAAAAGATAGGGTAAGTCCTGACAACTGTTAAGATTATTGCAGGTCAGGATGCTAGCAGAATTAACTGGAGGTCTATTTAGTTATGGCAAATAATTCTGATAATCAAAAGGTCTTTGTTCAGGAACAAAATGTTTACCACCTGTGGCTGCATTTCTGCACTGTTCATGGAAGTAACCTCAAACAATGTACAAAAAGTGAAACCACTTGTTTGAAGAACTTGCCTATCTAAGAGCTACACAAATTTATTTAACAGATTCTCCAAACAAAGCAAAATAATCAAGTCTTCTTTGCAGAAACGTTTGGGAAAGTTATTAAGGCATAGCAAATATCAGAACAAAATTCATATACGTTACAATACCATTTCATTTGTATGAGATATAACTGAGATAATACAAAATGTGGCACCCAAGCAAAATGGAACCTGATATTAAACAGTAATGTTAACTATTATCAGGCTTCAGTCAGTCAGTCAGTGATAGATATTTATATCATCAAACAATGGAAGCTAGCCCAAAGCAAAGGTAAGGCAGAGTAGGGAACATGGGCTGATCTTTAGCTGTAACGTGATTGTAAATGGAATCTGTTTCATTCTTAGACTGATCATTTGCCCAAACGAACAGGGAAGGGCAAAGGAGTAGGGACTCCTCTATATTCAACTGCCCCACGTTTTGTCTTTGGCCAGCTCCCAAATGTTTATGGTTTACCTATGGTTTATATATTTTTTCATATATTATAATAATAATAATAATAATAATAATAATAATTTAATTTGTACCCCGCCCTTCTCCTCATAGGACTCAGGGCGGCTAACAGCCTCATAAAAACCACAATACAATAATACAATAATATCTATATTAAAAACCGAATTAAAAGAAAATATTTAAGGAGGTCAATCATTAAAATTATCCTTAAAATTGCCCTTAAAAAACCCCGCTAAAATTCCCTAGGCCAGACCCGCTTGTTGAAAAAGCCATGTCTTTAGGGCGCGGCGGAAGGAGGGGAGATCCGGGATCACCCGGATCTCTGGGGGTAGTTCGTTCCAGAGGGTGGGGGCTCCCACCGAGAAGGCCCTCCCCCTGGGGGTCGCCAGCCGGCACTGTCTGGCTGACGGCACCCTGAGGAGACCCACTCTGTGGGAGCGTACCGGCCGATGGGAGGTAACCTGCGGCAGAAGGCGGTCTCGGAGATATCCAGGTCCGATGCCAGGTCCGATTATACGGCAAGAAGTCTTGCTTTAGAAATTCTTAGTGGTTGCAGGCTTAGTAAAATGTCAGATTACATCCTCATTATGATTGCCACTTTGCTTTTTGGTATTTTACAAGTTTGCTTATTTTCACAACCTTATAAGACAGTTCTTTTACCTTCTTCTACTATAAGGACCTCATGTTGTGTCTATACAAGCCTTCTGATTGATTCCTTGTTATAGCCATAAAGGTCTTCTGCTGATTGATTTTTGTCCATGGGCTGGTTCAGGACGCTTTGTGTAGATTTAGGTATCATACACTCCTACAGAGTTCTCTCTAGTCCAGTGGCCTTTTTAAATATATTCATTTTTTAGTTTTCAGCATTTTATCAACTACTTTGTGACTACCTCAGACATTTCTACTAATTCCTCATTCATATTCTAAGTGGCTTGTGCAATTCCAAGCCTTTTGCAATGGCTAGTACACACAATTGATATCAATACATGTAAGCATATGAACGTGCATACATTTGGAAGATTGTCTTTATTTGAAAGCAAATTGATATGTTTTTCAGTGAATATAGTGGGGAATCTTTACAAAGGCCTGCCTATGGTCCCGCTAGTCATCCTTCGTCGTCATCTTCAGCATCTTCCTCCTCTTCTGCATTTCGTCACGTAGTGCCATCTAGACAAATAGTGGAAAGACAACCGCGAATGCTCGACTTCAGAGTGGAATACAGAGATCGAAATGTGGATGTGGTGCTTGAAGACAGTTCTACAGTTGGTAAGAAACTACTGAGTTAAAAAAAACAAAACACAAGACCAAATTAAGTACCAAATTTAACTATAATACAAATACGTGTAAGAGCTGAAATTGGCAGGGAGAACTGATTTGTAAAGACACAACAGGTGCATTCCAATCTCAAGCTTGTTTGGAAAAGCAGGGCCAAAAGTCCATTGACTTGAAAGGGCAGGAGGAAAAGTTTTAAAATTTTACCCTGGGGCTGACCTCTGTGTGTTCTGTAGTACCCAGGTGTTTATATACATGACTCATTTATTTTCTGCAAGGAAACAATTTATCTAGCTTTCTGTTGGTGGTGGTGATGGTTTTTATGCTTTTCATTGTTTTTAGTGTTTTCTTACTGTCTGTGAGCTGCCCAGGGTTATGTTAAAAGGATGGGCAGTTATATAAATCTTTTAAATAAATGAATAGCTCTGAAGCTTTTTCTTTTTGTTATCTAAATTCTGAAAGAGTAGAGATTTATAGCTATAAGTGACCTAAAGTCTGATGTGTTTCTTTGAAGGATAGGGTAGGGAAGAGACACATAAAAACAGCACTTGTAAAGTTAGTGTTAGTGTTAGTCTTGGGAAACATGGACCAGCGGAAAACATGGTTGGGTTCATTAAGTATTTGAATTAATAATTGTATGATAGGCCAAAATATGATCAAAGATACCAGAACCCATGTTAACACACTGTATAATATCTCTGTTATACCAAGTTAGAATCACAGAGCTTGTATGCTTTTGAATTCAGCTTAAAGATTACAAAATGTTGTGCTTGAAGTGATGCCAGAATTAGGAGAAATATTACTGTGACAGAAAAAAAAGGGAATTCTGCCCTCATTATAAAGTCATCTTGGAGTCATTGATTTACAAAATGCAGTGATTTCTTTTATGCTGTAAACTGTACCATGCTGGAATTAGTGATATGTATTGCAGCAACTAGTTTTCCTATCTACTAATCCCATATTACTTATATATTATTTTGCTCCCTTGAGCAAAGAAAGAAGATGAAACTTTATTACAATGGTGCCTTGGTACCCAGCTGCTTTGAAACTCATTGAATTTGGTACTCAATGTATTTTGACATGAAAATTTTGTCCCGGTACTCATCATTTGTTTGGTACTCAACACACAAGCTAGAACTTGTCAGTGTTGGCTGCCTTGTGACTCACTTATATTATTTCTTATGGGAAAAATTCGTTTGATACGCATTGTTTTTGGTACTCATTGTGCCTCCCATAACCAATTAACAATGAGTACCAAGGTACCAGTGTATTTGTTTAAAACAGTTTTTGCCCACTCTATATGATTATTGATATCAAACAAATATTTCCTTTGAAAATCAGTATTTGTTTAGTTTATTTATATTTCACATTTCTGAAGCACCCATCTCTCTCAAAGAGGGACTTTGGATGGTGTATTTAGTTTAAAAATTAAATATAAAAATCATAGGCATATTGTATCAATTGTTTGTCCAGAACTTTTTTTTAAAAAAAGTATGTAATATATAATCAAAGAGCGCCACCTAGTGGCAAATATATGTTTTATTTGCTAAGCAAGTACTTGTTTGGCTATTCATTTCATATCCATTATTATGCTCAATTCTTCACTAGGTTGTGTCTTGTTTTGAGATTCGTTGAAATCCAAGTTTTCAGTCTCATTTTTGATTTTGCATAGCTCCAAATAAGAAAATGATATAAATGTTTTTAAGATCACTTCAGCTAATAGATTAATAAAATGCTCATTTTTAATCAGCAGGGCCTTTTATATTTTGAGAGAATTTTTTTATACAAGTTGATGATTTATTTTCTAGAAGTAGCAGGATTTAAGAGACATTTGTGTTGACATGAATGAGAGGATGAAATATGATGCCTTTTGAAGTATATGTATCGTGTCAACAAAGTATGCATTTTTCTTTCTAAAAAAAAGTTTTCCAGGGAACTATATGAAAATATTGGTATCTATAGAGATTTTGCTCATAACTCTGTATTTATCTGAAGTAGTTTTCCATATGTGCAAATATAGTATGAAGATAAAATATATATATGAACATTAGTCACAGTATCACTGGGGTTAAGCAGGTTATGTTTATTATTTATTTAGAAAATTTATATTGCCACCTACTCTCACATGGTGACTCAAGATGGCTTACAGGACATAAAAACACAATATAAAAGAAATAAAAATAAAAAATAAAAATAATAAAATAATAACCACACCACCCCGGCAACAACATACATTCATATCAGCCACGTCTTCAGGGCCTTCTGAAAGAGTGTCAGAGTTGGGATCAGTCTAATTTCCAGAGGGATGATTTTCCAGAGGGAGGGAGCCACCACGGAGAAGGCCGGGACCCGCAACATTCCTTGCCTCCCCTCTGATTAAGAGACAAGGAATGTTGATTTAAATGAAAAAATAAATTTCTATATTTTGAGATAAGGGTAAAAAAACAACCAGACTGTATTCTGTTTTGATTTCCTAAGTTTCACTTTTTACTAAGGCCATACTTTCAGTAGTGTTTCAACAGTACTTTAATCCCTTCCATTTGTCTCTTGCTCAGGGTCAATTCACACATTATACAGAAGCAAAGCTGGGTTTTCCATCAAAAACTGCTGCTAGGCATCATATTAACCTATTTTTAAAAACTTTTTATAACTATTTGATATATTCAAGTCTGTCCTTTTAATTGCAAATTTAACATCTTCAGTTCACATTCTTGCAAAAGCAGCTGTGGGTTACGTGCATAAATGTTTCAGAGTCAGATGTTAACTTTTTCCCCCCTTAGTGATGCAATTGCATAAAATGCCCACCAGATGGAAGGAACATATATCATATGAATAGAGAAATAATTAAAATAATCCAGAACTTGGATGACATCGGCTTTGTGGAACATGAGACTAATGTTTTGCATTTGATCATACTATATTCGCTATTGAGCAACAGTTATACAATGTTGCTCAGTGGGATAATTCAAGTGCTTGAAAGGGCTTTGAATAAAATAACAAGTTGTCTGTCTGTGGAGCTTAGAATCAAAACAGTAATTTTGATCTGGAAAAGAAATACAAAGTTTTTTAAGGAAAGAATTCTACTCTAATTTAGTCTTTAGCTCTGTTAACAACAATCATAACAGTTAATTAACATTCTCTGTGAGTGATATTGAGGACCACGTTTTAGTGATGGAACAGAATGCATTTACTGTATGTAAAAAAGCCAAGAGTTGGTCCTCACATATCTTCTTCAAACTTTTGAAGTAGCAGCCATGGGAAAGAAGGAATACCATTGTAGAATATGCCCAACTGAAAAAGCATTTGGTAGCTGTTAGCTAAGATGGTAAATGAGTGGTCACATTATGTGTAAATTTTAAACATTTCAAACAATTTAGAAAGGTTTTTAGAGCCCAAAGCATATATCATAGAAAGCAAAATTCTACTGCAAATTATATATCCTAAACATATCAAAAGATCCATTTGTTTAATTTAGAAATGAAATCTGAATTCCTTCAATCCATTTTACCGTATATTCCGGCGTATAAGACGACTGGGCGTATAAGACGACCCCCAACTTTTCCAGTTAAAATATAGAGTTTGGGCTATACTCACCGTATAAGACTACCCCTGTTCCAACGCACACCAAATAAAAATTAAAAAACATCAGATTTGATTTCAATATGGTAATTTTAATTCAAATGCTTATGACATGCAGGTACT